TGCCTTCGACCAGAATTACAATTTTACGCCACTCTCTGTGTGTTTTAGGCTGTCCTTCAATTATGCCATTCTTCACGATTCTCTCCAAGTCTTCCATATCTTTCGTGTCATTGTTTTGTTTTATTAACCTTTTTAGCACTTAATTAATTATATAAATAGTTTTATTTACTGTTATGTTTGAACACTTTAGTGACAGCTCCGGACAGTCGACAGCCCAGTATAAGTGAGGCGTGATTTTGCTCATCGCTTATAACGAGACAACCCTTTCCAAGAAGTGCTGGAATTGAGAAGGCATTGGTTGCGAATCCCATTCCGTATACAATACTGTCCTCAACTCCTAAATACTGTGCCACTAATGACTCCAATTTGTGGTGTATTTCTTGTCTCCCTGTGTCCACACAATACCCACATTTAAACACTTCATTTAAATAAATTCATTCACAAGTCATACCGACTTCGTTTGGTGTACTCCCGACTCCGACTCCTAACTCTTTGATAGTTTGTTGCACTGAATCAGTGATGTGGCCCTCATTTACAGAATAACCAAGGTAGTTATACGAACCCAAGTTTATCATATCTAACTTATTTCCAGTAAATCTATTATTTAAATTTAAAAATAAGTGTTTAAAACAAATCATGTCATAGATTTGTGAATAGTTTAATTTGAGGCTAACCTCCAGTTGACATTATGCTCATCAAACTGTCTCTCGAGTACGAGTGCTGTGGGCCCGGGAACAGAGCCTATGGTAAAGGTCCACATATCACAGAATCTTCTCAATATATTCCTGTAATAAAATGTCTCGAATTGACTGTAGAGAGGAGTGTATGACTCTCTGTCCACTTCGTTGCGTTCAAACTTGGTTTGAGTGAAAAGATTGACAAAATCATTAATAAATCCAAATGTTACCAGAATTACACGACTTATATAATTCCAGAAAATCATATTTAATGGTATAGTCGGCCGTCTGTTTGTGTCATTCATGACTAACTTATATATTAATAAATTGTTCGCAAATTATTTGTATTTATATTATTAATAAAATTATACTAAATTTATATAGAACAAACTTAATATTTTCTATTTCAATTAATATAAAAGAGTTTTGTGCTGAAATGTATTGTTTTATTCATTAATTGTTTTAAACAGTTGTATAAATATTATGATTTTTGAATATATTATAAACTAATTTTTATACATTATTACATTACTGTATCCTAATTATTAGATAAGTAATTTGCTTAATTATTTAATTGCATTTCAAATACAGTAATTACTAATTAGTGATGAAATAGTATTCAACAGTAAAAGCATTTAATATTCCTTATAAAAACTTGAAAAATATAGAAGTTTTGGACAGTTTAATGCCAAAAATGTTAATATTTCCAAAATTGCAATAGGAACATATAATTGAAATAATTATAAGTAATTCACAGTAACAGTAATTGCCGGTTGATATACGTGGAGATCTAATAAATAATATTCTTCATATGAATTGTTGTTAAAAAAATTGTTAGTTATTATCAATAACTTATTGATATTACGTTATACTGCAATGAAAATTTTCTGCTATAATCGAAAGTGTTATAAACCGATGCATTTAACAGTACAGTACAGTATGCATAGGGCTAACAAAAGTAGTGTTAAAACCGAATTCTGTTCTAATGGGTGTCAAAATCGAATGCCTACTGTATTCATATGAATCGTATTGCCGCTCAAATATAACCACTGCTCAAGCATTGCGAGCATTCACTACACATTTTGTTCACTAAATGTATGGCAAATGAATGCATGTTTGCGAACGCATTGCGCGCATAGACTGTACTGTGAATTGAATGCAGAATCAAACACAATATGAGATAAGATTTGAGATTTGGGTTAACTATTGGTATAAACAATACAATCAATAGACAGACAATGCATTCACGCATCCAATTGTCACAATCATAACTAGTATTGAGTGATCAGCTCTCGAGACACACACGATGTCCAACACTACTCTCAAAGAAGTGCTTTACGAGAATCTGTTGGCCATTACTTCGGCCGACAAAGACATCAGAACTAATGGCGAACAACAGCTCAAACTCTTGGA